GTTATTTTGAACGTAGTGTGTGACTCATGAATCAGTACAGTGAGTGTTTGAGTCCTTTCGTGAACCACCGGGTCATAGTAAACTTAGTTGTCGAAAATTGATTCCATGGTATAACTCTAGTTTTCGGTGAATTGGCTGATCCAGATATGTTGTGATCTTTTCATATTCACAGAGTGTAGCAACGTGTCGCCTGATGGAAGTTGACACTATGTTCACCAACACTGCCACCACGGTAACCGCAGGTAATACCGAGGGCAGCTAGTCAACGGTATTAATAGAATGGCGGTCGTTTTGACTACGGAAATAAATTTAACTGTCTTGGCTGCAAATACCTCGTTTACCTCCATTCAGTCCAAGTGATGTAACAACGATATTTTTTGCCTGTACGTTTCATTTGCAACAATCTGAAACTATCTTTAAAATTCGTTTTACAGAGTCCATTATTAAAAATGAAACGCTATTTTGTGAATTGCATTGAAATTAAATTATACGAAGATGACGGTTCAAAGTGCATGCGGCGAAACCAAAGAATTTCCTGGATTGATAGGGCTCCGTCAAGGTTCAGCAATGAGCCAATATTTGTTCATGAGGGCTACATATCCGGCAAGTAAAGATTTGCAGGGAACAGCAGCATACGGAGAAGCACTAGAAGCAAAAATCGATATATGAAGAGGAGTCCTTGAGAAATAAGGTGTTCGATTCAAGACAAGCCACGTTGTTCGAACAGAGGAAAAGCTAACGAATCGATGAAAGTAGCGAAAGAGTATGCCGCCTCCTACTCAAGGATTCAAGTATCTTGGTTCGTTGATCCTACAGGACAATGGAGAAATTGATACAGAATCAAGAAATCGTCAGAAAAGGCATGGTTCTAATCGAGTGAAGTGAGCGGCGTTTAATGACATAAGAAGATGTCCATCGCGATAAAGGGAAATGTGTATAGAACGACGGTAGATCAGTATTTCTTTGCTAAGCAAAACGTTTGGCTATCCTAAAGATGCAAAAGCAACAGTTGAACTCGGTAGTAACGCAAATGCTCAGCTGGATGTGTGGCTCCGCTGAAGGAACCATATCCTGAACGCCTTCATGAGAGGCGCTTTAGGAGTGACATCAATGTCATTAAAGCTTACCGAAAGCAACCGGCGTTCTTTCGGCCACATGAAAAGAAGATGTGACGAGATCGTTGAAAATGTTATCCAACCGCTGAAGCTGTCTGGGAAGAGAAGAAAAGGTAGACCAAAGAAAATGTTGCGCCATACCTTACAAAGCCATAGGTAACTGCGAGAAGTGACTGGTGATTTCATCAAAGACCGAACTATGGAGTCAGTTGACTCGAACAGCGAGGCCCTGTTAAAGGCAACATCGTTATGGAAAAAGAAAAGAAAACCACATTGAAATTAAATTATCGCTCTTGACCTATTTATTATTAATCCTTGAAATATTTGATTGTTGGATAGACTTGATTTGGAATGGCCAGAGGTGTTCTACGCGAACTAACCCTAACCGTTCCGCTTATAACAGAGGTAAGTCTGAAGACCAGATTAGGCTATTTGTTTTCAAGTGGATCATCATGACCGTACTCATTTTTGGTCGCTATTTGTAATTCATGACTAAAATGTTGCGATTCCGGGTCCAAGCGGCGGAAATGGGCCTTCTGACACAAATCGCCGGCTTCATGCGTCTCGATATGGTCCAGAGTTGAGATATCCGCGAAAGCCTTGGTGTATAACCGCTGCTGCTCCAGATTGAGAGGTCTCAGCTGCGGTGGTTTGGGCACAACTTGCGAATTCATTCAGAAAAGAAGGCAGAACAGCTACTACTTGCCTGGACGACCGACCGATGACCCCAGGGACGGCCAAGAATAACCTCAGGCATTGTACTGTATGGAAGGGCAGAAGACTGAAGTTGTCCTCTGCCAAAGCTGCAACGCTACAACTGAAACAGGAACACCAATTGATGCTCTCTGCTTTCGCGATCCGATTGCATAAGCGGTCTTTAATACTGACTGAACGACTAGTGATGCGATGATATACTCCCTTCCGTTTTTTGACTCTGAGACATATATCTTCTGTTTAGTTCATCCATTTAGTGTCGTAATACGTCTGCAAATACATTATGGCTTGAATGAGTT